CGCGGAGCTAGCTGGTCGGGAGGTCACTCTGAGACACGTGCTCAGCCTGTTTGCCCCCCAAAAGATTCGCGGCACTATGATCCATGCGCGTCCCCGAGGGTCGAAAGGTTTAGTGGTCAAGATGGACGACAGAACCAATCGCCGTTTTTTCGATAACTTTTTCTATGTGTGGACCGAGCATCTTGTAGCGAATCCGACTGGGATTCCAGAAATGTGGAATTTTGCCCGTAAGTCTTCATCCTTGACTAGTAGACTACCCACTTTGGCCTCGTTTTCTTTATATCATGTAAATATTGATCTATTTCGATGCTTTGCAGCCGAGAAGTTACCCCCGCCTCCTCTGGAGGGGATCCGAGAATGGGTCGAGGCCATTCTTCCTCATACGGCGGAAGTTCGCACATGGTCGACGTTTCATCTGAGATTCGGACGTAGGCCCCTCACAGGTGAGATAGCGCCCTTATTTTTTACCCGTTCTCTTTTGTTTCGATCTTACCTTTCGAGTATTGTATGTCGTGGCCAGGGACGGTTCGCAGTGTCAGGGCTCCTCAGTTAGCCTTCCGTCGGCCGTCGGCCGTCCGCGTCCACTCGTATCAGTGCGGTACCTGCAGCTCGCCCGTCGAGGGAGGCGTCGGTAGAATCTGTAGCCTTGGCCGCTCCGACCCGTACTATATCTCCGGAGGAGGGTCGGTCTGGTACCGTCCGTCCTCGGAACGACTCGCCATCAGCCGGGGAGGAAGAAGGGCCGGCAAAGAGGCGGAGGGTAGGGTTTGAGATGGTTCCTCCGGCGGTGATCAACTTGGATTCACCCCCAGAAAACCCAGAGGAAGGTGTTGTTGCGACGTCTATCGCTGAGGGGGAGCGGGTGGTCGGGGTTGTTCCCACCAGTCAGAGCTAGGAGAAATCTGCTGGTGTAGCGACCCAATAGGGAGTCCCCGCTGTTTATGATGCAGGACCTCTCGTTGTGGCAGAGAATCGGGCCCCTGATGCTGCCGTCGTGACCTCGAGCGCGCCGTTACCACCCTCGGCAGGTCGCGTCGCACCTTCGGCAGCTGAGAGGGGAAAGGGAGTAATGATCGACGAATACGAGTCCGAGTCTGACTTGGACCCTGATGATGTTCGGATGTTCGAGGAGGGCATTACTCGCTCGGTGGTCAATGCGGAGGGGTCGGCTCGTCTTGTTGGAATCCCCTCCGATGTGAACCTGTTGACACAAGGAGGCAACCTGGTACCACAATTCAGCTTGTTGTGTTCGGAGGCCGAAAACGAGTCCCTGAGGAATGTTTCGGATGTCGAGGTAATGGACGAAGTAGCTGTGATGGGCTTACGGGTATGTTATATCTGATTTTGATTTGTTTCTCCGTCGTTGCAGAATGAGCATTAGTTTAACTGCTTTCTTGTTTTGCAGACGTACATGTTGGAGGTAGAAAATATTCGCAGGGCCAATGTCCGGTCGAGGATCTTCTTGCAGATGCTGGAAAAATACCGTCGTTATCGCGATAGGTGCCGTGAGTTGCACGAACGGTTAAGGACTGATCCCCGCAACCGGGCTTTGGGTGAGGAGTTGGAGAAGAAGGACCGGGAGCTAATGCAGGCGCTCCGCAGCAAGAGCGAGCTCGAAGAGCAAATCCGCCTTAAGGACGAGGAGCTCGAGGTAGGCAAAGGGGCCGCTGCCGAATGCGAGCACCTGCAGGGCAAGTTACGAGCAATGCAGTTGGAAATGGAGCAGAGCCAGGCCAGAACAGCGGAGATGAACGCCGAATGGAGCGGGAAGTTGGCTGCGCTGGAAAGCACGGTTGCCGATTTGAAGCGTATGGAGAGGACAGCGTTGGATGCTTCGACGAGGGCAGCAGCCTTGGAGGCGGCAATTCGTGTACATAAGTCCGAGCGAGAGGCGGAGAGAGCTACTGCGGCCCTTAAGGAGGCGAGGCTCGAGGAGCGGATTGGCGCGGCTGACATGGAGGCCTTAGCCTTGTCAGATCGGGTTGCGGCCCTGGAGGAGGAGAATCAGCGGTTAAGGGCCCATGCTGGATAATCCCGTGTCGCTGTTCCCTGCCAGGCTCATGAACTCTGGGTTTATGCCGAAGCTCAACGTGATATTTTCAAGAACTTGTGGGAGGTGGGCACCGTGACTGAGGCACTTTCGAGGAGGCGCGCCAGAAGGCTCGTGAGGCTCGAGCCAACTATGGATATGATGTGGCAACACCCGAAGTTGATGGGGACGCCAGTGGTAATGATGATAACGACGGTGTTGGCGCCGTGTGAGAGAAAATCGAATTTAGTTGTTTGTTGTCTCTTTTTTTTTATTGGCTGGCATAGATCAGATGTAAGTGGCAATAGCCCGCATTTACGACTTCGTGAATAAAGAATTCTTCTTCGCTTCTTGCTTTATATTTCAGTTCTCTGGTGACTTACGATCTATTCGCGGGGTGGGGGCTCGTCAGACGAGTCCGCATTCCCCTCATGTGATGAAAGTTTCTGGTCGTAGGTTTCATTGTGAACCTTTCGAGAGGATAGCTCGTCTTGGTTTGAGCGAGGTCGAACCTGTCGCTCCTTGAGGGTATTCAGTCAGCCTGAATCCCAGTTCGAGCGAGGTCGAACTGTCGAGTTTTGATGGCGAAGGCTCTTAGCCTGAGTCCCAGTTCGAGCGAGGTCGAACTGTCGAGTTTTGATGGCGAAGGCTCAGCCTGAGTCCCAGTTCGAGCGAGGTCGAACTGTCGAGTTTTTATGGCGAAGGCACTTAGCCTGAGTCCCAGTTCGAGCGAGGTCGAACTGTCGAGTTTTGATGGCGAAGGCACTTAGCGTGAGTCCCAGTTCGAGCGAGGTCGAACTGTCGAGTTTTGATGGCGAAGGCACTTAGCCTGAGTCCCAGTTCGAGCGAGGTCGAACTGTCGAGTTTTGATGGCGAAGGCACAGCCTGAGTCCCCGTTCGAGCGAGGTCGAACTGTCATGTTTTGACGGCGAAGGTACTTAGCCTGAGTCCCAGTTCGAGCGAGGTCGAACTGTTGCGAAGGCACTTAGCCTGAGTCCCCGTTCCAGCGAGGTCGAATTGTTGAGTTTTGATGGCGAAAGCACTTAGCCTGAGTCCCAGTTCGAGCGAGGTCGAACTGTCGAGTTTTGATGGCGAAGGCACTTAGCCTGAGTCCCAGTTCGAGCTACGCCGAACTGTCGAGTTTTGATGCCGAAGGCACTTAGCTTGAGTCCCAGTTCGAGCGAGGTCGAACTGTCGAGTTTTTATAGCGAAGGCACTTAGCCTGAGTCCAAGTTCGAGCGAGGTCGAACTGTCGAGTAGCCTGAGTCCCAGTTCGAGCGAGGTCGAACTGTCGAGTTTTGATGGCGAAGGCACAGCCTGAGTCCCAGTTCGAGCGAGGTCGAACTGTCGAGTTTGGGTGGCGAAGGCACTTAGTCTGAGTCCCATTGTTTACATCGATGGTTCAACGCCTCGGGCGTTAAGTGTTGGCTTCGTTTTGGCCTGTGGATGTATGTTGTACTCGTGCTATGTTTGTTCGCTTGACCGTGGCACTCAGGTTGTTCCGAGGCGATTTTCAGTTCCTCGTTTGAAACACCTCTGCGCTGGTTTCCGGCCTGATACAGTATGGTGGATGAGGGGGGGATGCTCCATTCTTTTGCCCGGCGCTCGGGAGGAGAAGGGGGGACGCTTTGCATCACTTCTTTCCTCGCTCGGGCTATTTGAGGTCAACGGGGCAGAAGATTTCTGGCTCCCGTTGGGGCATTCGATTCTTTTTTTTTTGTTGATGCGCCTCCATTGACTCTGGTTTGAGTCGAATTTTCTTGTTGGTGTTTCTTGTTCTTCAATCCAGGAAGAACTAAGTGTTTTCACTAGGAATCCTCACAGACGGCGCCAAATTGTTTGACCCAAAAGTTGTTTAATACTTTCTAAGCAAATCAATCAATGTAGATGAAGGGGTAAATCGTAGTCAACATTAATTGATACTGGATCGAAGAACATAATCGTAAAGATAGAAGAATCAATTAAAATGACACCTGGAAGGTTCTATTTGATTATAGAAATTCGGCCTGCCTCTCCTTGAAGAGGTTCAGGAGATTACAATCAAATTCTTCTTTCCTCCTTGGAGGTGGAATCTCTTTTCCTAAGATTGTTTCCTCTCCCTCCCTCTCTCCGGAGACCCCCCCCCCCCCCCCTTCCTTAAGGGGTTCTTCTTCCTTCTATTTATAGCCCAAAACTCCGCATGCTTATCACATTTGATTTGGGCCGGGTCGGGGAAATGACCTCCCCTCATGGGGAGGCCTCGACCTCGACACTCATGTCATAAATAGCAGCAATTAGGCGAAGTCGAATTTGTTGATTGCTGCTGCAGGGTGGTCGGGACGGGTCCTTGCTGCTGTGACCGTGTGGTCGGATTCTGACCAATACAAAGCGCGCACAAAATATAAGAGCTTACCCTTTTTTTAAAACGGTGGCATTTAATCCAGTTTGCATGCATGTGTCTCAACTCTCAACTAATCCACCGAGCAACTTGTCCAATGTCACATGCACAAAGGTGGTTAAAATTGTAATTTTGCCAAGTAAATGGACTCATACCAAGTGCTGTAGTTATATTCGAACTTGAGATCTCCAAGTTGTTAATCGGACATGATCTTAACTATATATTAGGTCAAACTTTGCAAAATGGCACATTGATTTTCCTAAAGGTACGCTATTTCAAAAGTTTGCTGAGCTTCTTGATTCGGCATTTTTGAACCTAAGAAACGCTCGGATTCTATTTCGGTCATAGGTGTAAGCACCATAACAAACCATAATTATAAGTTACACTTGGTAAATAATTATATTTTATTTATTCAAACAACAAAAGGAAATCATGAACAAAAAAGCTCATCATAAAATAATAAAATTAAAAAATTAAAAACCACCTGTGGTAACCAGTGGCTCACATTGAAGCCAGTTGTTCCGTCTCTCTCTCTCTCCTCTTTTTTCCTTTTTCTGTCTAACGACATTTCCAAAATTCAGTTGTAGAGTCCAAGAAAGAGAAAAAGGAGAGAGATTTTCTCTCTCTTTTTTCCCTTTTCTTGAGAACGACTCTCCCTCACTTTTTGTTCCTTCTGAAATAAAAAAAGAAATATCAATTAATCAATTATATTGAGCATTCACATTTTCCCATCAAGTTTTTGAAACAATTTTCTGTCTTTCTAAACTCCAAAGACATGGCGGTATGATTCACAATTCTCTATATGTTTGTGTTCTTTATAAGGTTTAAAAATTGTATTTTTGAGTTCTGATTGTGAGCATTTGTTTTGTTCTTTCACAATGCATTGTTGATTTATATTTTTCTGTTCTATTAATATTTGCCCTAGATTATTTTGGGAGATCTTTTGCAAGTTATGGGTTTGAGGGGGAGCTTTGGAGAGACGATGAAGTTGTCTATGGGTGACCTATAGGTCACGTGTTCGAGCCGTGGAACCAGCCACTGATGCTTGCATTAGCGTAGGCTGTCTACATCATACCCCTTAGGATGTGGCGCTTCTCTGGACCCCGCGTGAATGAGGGATGCTTTAATTTGTGCACCGGGCTTCCCTTTTTGAAATTCATGATTCCCGGCCATATAAATGTCTTTTTAAGATATCTATCGGCCAATTTCATGTATGTTCGATACCAACGTACAAATAACTGTGAAATTAGATTATAGAGAACCTTTAGTTTTTTTCTTTCTTTCTTTATTTTGTATTTGTTATAATGGTAGTGAGTGCACACCTCGGCTATTTCATCTTATATTTACTGCCTCCTACCAGCATAGGCTTAAGGTTTAGACAGATAAGACGAAATCACAATAACATTTTTTTTCCTTTGTTGGAATTTGACCTTGATCCCATAGTTTTCATCCCACTTTATCGACCACCAGTATGTCTAAATCAAGTTAAACTTAGCTCCTATTAGCACATAACACAATGGAAGTGAATGATTCATTTAAGCAATACCGACTAGTTGGTTAAGGCTCAATATGATGTTTTAGTCATGTCTAAATCAAGAGCTTTTTTCCGGTCAGAGACCTGTATTCGCATATCAATTAGTTAGAAATATATGTTTTAGTCATGTTAGTACGTTTACTTTAAGTCGTCTACTTTCTACGAGTCATAGTCCTGTCTGAGTATATGCCAATTATAAGACTTGGTATAATTCTGGTTTATAAATTCAGTATCCAGTTAATTATGCAGTATCTTACTATTTTAGCATCAAAATTGTCGTAGTCTATACCACTCTGTTATGAGAGACAACTGAGGGTTATTACTATACCTTTACCATTTATGTTGTCATTAATAGGAGTATTTTCTCTCCTAACATGTAACATGTAAAAGGCAAAGATTAAAGCTTATGTGATTCATTTTCATTTCAATATATCTTGACATATATAGAACAGCATGATTCAGAGTTTTTCTTTTTATTCACTATAGGAAGGACGTCCACTTCCGAAGTTTGGCGAGTGGGATGTTAATGACCCGGCTTCAGCTGAGAGGTTCTCTGTCATCTTTAACAGAGCTCGAAACGAGAAGAAGACGGGCAAGATAGATCACTCACCACCAAAGAAAAACTACAAGCATACAGCAACTCTTGGAAAGCCTCAATCTGTAAGTTGTGGCTGATCGTCCTATGGTTATCTACCTGTTTTATGTTATCGTTGCCTCAAGTTTTGAAGCTTAATTTTGTTGGGAAAAATAGGACGTAGAAATAATATTCACAGTATAGGCTAGAGAACAACAATAAAAATGTAGTACCAAGATATGGTAATTAACGGGAATAAAAAGAGTAACAAGGACAAGTGCAAAATTCCTTACTAAAGTGTCTATGCTGTTACATAATTATATGATGAGCAATTGCCCATAATTGATAAAGGAAAGATTTTGTATTGTGTTGGTAATTCATCATTTTATGTCATTTTAAAAGAAAGATTAATTTTTGTCAAGAGAAGGTGTGCTCAGATATGTATATGATGACATTGAATGTAGTTTGAAATGGTTATATTAAAACATCGAATTTGGTTATACGATTTGATTCTTTTTTACAAATGCCTCTACAGACTGGAATATAAAAATTTGAGCTTTCTACTTTTGGCTTTTGCCTGCTATCTGAATTTTTATTATCCTACAGAATCACTTCTTTTCCAATTTGATACTGAGATTTTGAACTATCTTATACCTTTTCGCCTATTCTCCAATTTGATACTGAGATTTTGACAATACTGATATATTGTCAAAAGGCTCCTTTTTTACATCAACATGTTGCTTGTCTAGCGACATGGGAACGAAAAAAGGAAGGATAAGGATCGATGGGGTGGTCTCTCTCGCCTTTTGAATTGCAAAACAATAAAATGTATTTTAAAAAGTACTTGTGTTGGATTGACACTGCAAATCTAATCCAAATAAAATAGATATAAAAGTAACATTGGTTATATATGCATTGAGATCTTTCTATTTACTCTTTAGAGTTAGAAGTTGGATTTGTAATCCTGAAAATAGGGCAGGTTACCTGTTACAATAGGTGCCCGGTTCACAAGGCATCCCGCATTCATGCAGGGTCTGGTCCAGGGAAGCGTCGTACCCCAAGGGGTGTGACGTAGACAGCCTACCCTAATGCAAACATTAGTGGATGCTTTTACGGTTTGAACCCGTGACCTATAGGTCATACGGAGACAACTTTACCGTCGCTCCAATGACCTGATAATGTAGAAAATTCTTTATACTAACAGTGTATATAACATAAACTCTTAAAGTTATAAACAATCTAGAGTCATTTGTTCTAGACAATAACATTGTGGACATGTTGCTTTTTCAGAAGAAATGGTTCTGCTGTATGCGGTCCAGTGATGCCGATTGATGAACTCTGTTTGCTCCTAGACACTGCAATGGAAAGTATAACTTTTTTGAATACCATATGCTAAATAGTGTTCCAGAAGACTGGAGCTGTAGTCAAGCTGTGATGGATCCTGCTGGAATTAAACTTTGTTATATTATAATATTACTCAGATTACAGCTTTTTGCTACCAAAATATATTGCCCTATCTATGTGTTTCATTTTTTCTAATCTTGAGTTTGTTATTGTTACTGTTAGTTAACAAGTTTAACAGCTGATGCTTGACAAGTTCCGAAAGGAGCTCGTTCTCTTTATTTTGTCCAATTTCTTTTGTTTCATCGATTTTGTCTGGATCCCCCTTTTCTTCCGGAAAAGAAAGGGAAGAAGAAGGATCTTATTCAGTGGATCCCTCTTGTTCCTGTTTAGCTCTTTCCTGCGTACATTTTTCTTTTTATAGATATGATAAAACGATCGTGTCAAAATATATCCGTCTTTTACTCTTTGGTTTAATATTCTTGACTATAGCTTATAAAATAAGACAAAGAACAAGAAGAAAAAGACTTTTTTAGATTCGTAAGATCATCATAGAGCCCATTACTTTTTATTATTTTAGTTAAAATTTGGGATGAGTTGCTATATAGTGTAAGAAAAACCTGTTTGATATTTGGCAATACTATCAATTGGCACATAACGAGTTATGATGAAATTTCCCTTTAAACCCGTTCAGAGTTTTTCGATTAAATCAATACTCCCTCAGTTCTAATTTACGTAGCAAAGTTTGAAAAGGCACGGGCAATGGTTGCAAAATGGATTACAAAAACAGTTATCCATCCATATTATCCACTCAAAAATGATTTGGATAATGAACTTTTTATAAATTGGTCAAATATGGATAAGTTCCATATTATCCGCCGGTTAACCCGTTTTCTAGCCGTATTAAAATATGAGTCGGGTCGGGTATTTTGTCTGTTTTTGCATTATCCGTTTTTAACCCGCCCACATCTGACTTAACCCGCCTGTTTGCCACCCTTAGGCACGGACCACAGAGTTTAATAGCCTGTTTGGCCAAGCTTCTTTTTGGCCAAAAGTGCTTTTTTTTGGCCAAAAACACTTTTGGCCAAAAATTGAGGTGTTTGGCCAAGCTTTTGGAAGGAAAAAAAGTGCTTTTGAGCAGAAGCAGAAGCAGTTTTGGAGAAACAGAAAAAAGTAGCTTCTCTCCAAAAGCACTTTTTTGAGAAGCACTTTTGAGAAAAATACACTTAGAAGCAGTTTTTTAAAGCTTGGCCAAACACTAATTGCTGCTCAGAAGTACTTTTCAAACTAATTAGCCAAACACAAACTGCTTCTCACCAAAAGTACTTTTGAGAAAAGCACTTTTGAAAAAAAGCACTTCTCAAATAAACCGATTTTTGCAGCTTGGCAAACAGGCCATAAGAAAGAAAGAAAGACACCATGGTAAAGTGGCAAGTATTAAATATTGGACATGACCTGACTAAAATCCAAAAATCTCTATAGCTGAACAAAAATCAAATACAACCTATCAAAGTCAATGGTACTATGCCACAAGAATTATCTATCAATAGAACAGCAAAAAATGAAGGACTAGTGAATCTTGCAACCAAGAACTCTCCAGTGTTAGCAGTCAGTAAAATATCCCTGTTTCACCACACAAGCTGATGAAGAATCCAAGTTACCTGCTGCTTATGTGCTGGAAAGTTCTTACATGCGGTCTATTTAACCGACTAACTGTGAATTACGTTGGACTTGATTCTTTTCCTACTGAAAAGAGAATGTACATGGGACGCTTTCCTAAAATAGAGTGAAGTTCCGCCCATGTCTGAATTCTAGATCCAGTAATGCAAGTTTAAACTCTTATAGTCCGAACCTTCCGTTCAAAAAGGCGTTGGAGGAGGAAGACTTGAAGAAAGCTGACACCAACAAGGGTAACTGATTCAAGAATGGCTTTGGTGATTGCTCTTTGGCTCATACCTTCATTCACTACACTTCCCAAAATGAGTTTATTATTAACACTAAAAAAAAAAGCAACTTCTTCTTTCTCTATTTGTTGGATTAAGCTTAACATACACATTTTGTACAACCAATTACGCTCCTCTACTCTTTAAGTGGAATTAGACTGAGCGGTCCTATATTGCTCGACTCTCCAAAAATATCGCGGGTGCGTGACGGATCCTGTAAAAGTAGTATATTTTTGGAGGATCCGACACGGGTGCAACAACATTTTGGAGAGTCCGCGCAACATAGGAGTGATCTACTATGAAAATACAATGAGGAGGAAGATTCTGGCTTCGCCACTATGCACCAACACAGATATTGGGCAACTCTGTCCACCAAGACTTGGACAAATGGGAAGAAATCACCTAATGTTTTTGCCTCCATTGAGATTTGAATATGAGACACATGGTTCTGAACTCACTTCATTTACCACTAAGCCACACCCTTGGGTGCAAATACAAAAGATATTATGATAGAACCAACGGTGCAGTGGAATCAACACTTAGCTTAAAAGTGAACTAGATAAAACGGAATCATGGTGGTGGATGCTATAGTGAGATTCCATGTAAATGTTATGAGTGATTTTTTCTGGCAGTGGCCAATGGCATACACAACATTTGTGCAAATGGTTGTTAGTAATCTGTATTTGTAAAACAATTCTGGAGAAAATAAAATAACATAAACACAAATGTAAACAGAATAACAAAAAATCACATTCGAGCCCACTGAATTCACAGTGTTTCCTTAAGGAATTTAATCCCCTCCTAGTATCCAAGGTTATGGATTATTTTCTCCCAGGATAGAACGAATTACACACTGGTGTAGTGGTACTTCAAACCCCAGTGTTTCAGCGAACACAAAGTTTGGTAGCAAATCACACTTATTGTTACTTTCTTTGAAGTTAAAATATGCAGAAGAAAGGAGAAGAACTCAGAAAATTCGTATGGAAATTCTAAGCAAAATAGTCTTGTATTTATAGCCAAAGTTGGGCTAAAATCTGAAGAGGTGCAACTCTTCAGAATGGCTGTTTATGCAAAACGGCCACAGCATAAATGCCATAACATAAATGGCTATTTACTCAACAATAAAGAGGGAAAATTGAAGAGGGTAGTTTAAATTTCAGTTACACAACTGAAAAACGGATTGGATTTAATATTATTTTATTTTAATATTAATATTCTGTTATTAAAACAAATATTTAATAACATTTCTGTTAATATTTTTCTATTAACAAATAAATTTGATCCAAAAAATTAATCAATCAATCGATCATTTGACCGAATCCGAAGCCAAAGTCGAGCCGAGCGAGGGACGACGACGGCGCGAGGCTTGCCTTCTTCTCAACTCTTTAAGAGTTAGAAGAAGAGCAATTGTTTATATACCCATAAAAAACCTCTTCCTCTTCCAATATGGGACAATGTCCCTTTGCCAAGGGGGAAACTTAAAATTTCACTTAAAAATTTCATTTCCCTCCATTTCCCATTCACCCTATTTTAAGTATATCATATACTTAAAATCCCAACAATCCCCCACATGAATGGGGAATGGCTATAACACGGAAATATACATGAAAAACTGTGTCACTCGCAAGCAAGGATTAATTGCATCTGGATAAGTAGGTTTCCCTTTGAACTTTCCGTAGTGAACTTATGTCGGATATACTCGGTCAATCGATAGATTTGATATCTTTGAACCGTCAAACTTTGGTGTATACCTAGACAACCATAAGTCACACAACCAACCCTTAATCGTCTTTGGTTCTCATTGTTGTGTTCGTTTCAGCCATGAACACCGCCTAGTTTCATAAGTGCGTAGAGAACTGGCCTTACAAAGTTCTCCTTGAAGCGTCTAACACTTCACACTTACATAGGTGATTCCTAAACGTGTCATCCTGTAGATACACTATTTGATATACCCCGTATCAAATTTAGAAATCATTAAAAAGCCTTAATGCTTTATTCTTGGTACTGAACATTGTCTCATCACGAGAATGGACCAAAAGTTTAGTTGACAATGTTGAACCGTCATTAATGACTTTTTTGATCTCCTTGAACCTAGATCTTGGGATCTCGAGTCTTCTAGGTAGAGTTACCGCCACTATGACTTGTTCTCGGCCACAGTCTCATTCCCCTTGATGATTTCTCAAAAGGATGGGCGATCCTAATGAATACATCACTTCGTACACATGCGAGATTAAAGGAAACGACTTAAATGATGATGAGATCGAGTCGGTTTTGTTGAAAAAATTTGGGGAAACATTGTCAAAGGGAGCAATGATTTGGTATCACAACTTGCCACGAAATTCCATCGACTCGTTTGCTATGTTAGCAGACGCCTTCGTGAAGGCACAGCCGGGACCATAAAGGTTGTAACAAGGAAATCCGACATTTTTANAGCCATTCAGCTTCTTCACCGGCTTTATCTAAGGCTATGAATTCAGCCTCCATTGTAGAGCGGGCAATACAAGTTTGTTTGGACGACTTCCAAGATACCGCTCTTCCACCAATAGTGAATACATATCCACTTGTGGACTTGAAATCAGTTGATCCGGTGATCCAATTTGCATCACAGTATCCCTCAATGACCGCAGGATATTTACTGTAGTGCAAAGCAAAGTCCTGGGTATGTACTAAATACCCCAAAAACTCGTTTCATGGCCATCCAATGAGATTGACCTGGATTGCTCGTATATCGACTCAATTTACTTATAGCACAAGCTATATCTGGTCGTGTACAATTCATGATGTACATTAAGCAACCCAACACACGAGCATAATCAATTGTGATATGCTTTGGCCTTTGTTCTTTGCTAATGCAAGATTCACGTCAATTGGAGTCTTTGCAACTTTAAAGCCCAAGTGCTTGAATTTTTCAAGTACTGTCTTAATATAATGAGATTGTGACAATACCAGACCTTGAGAAGTCTTATGGATCTTAATTTTCAGAATTAAATCAGCAACTCTCAAATCTTTCATATCAAACTTGCCAGTTAGCATGCGCTTAGTCGCATTTATGTTGGCAATGTCATTACTTATTATCAGCATATCATCCACATATAAGCAAACAATGATTATGTGATTTGGAACATTTTTAATGTACACACATTTATCACATTCATTTATTTTAAAACCATTTGACAACATTGTTTGGTCAAATTTCGCATGCCATTGTTTGGGTGCTTGTTTTAGTCCGTAAAAGGACTTAACAAGTCTACATACCTTCTTTTCTTTACCTGGAACCACAAACACTTCAGGTTGTTCCATGTAAATTTCTTCCTCCAACTCTCCATTTAAGAAGGCTGTCTGAACATCCATTTGATGAATTTCAAGACCATAAATTGCAGCTAATGCTACTAACGTTCGTATAGAAATTTTGTAACTAGAGAGTATGTATCGAAATAGTCAAGACCTTCTCGTTGTCTATACCCTTTGACCACAAGTCTTGCCTTAAATTTGTCAATAGTGCCATCATCTTTCATTTCCTCTTAAAGATCCATTTAGAACCCAACGGTTTATTTCCGGGAGTAAGATCAACCAATTCCCATGTATGGTTTTTCAGTATGGATTCTATTTCACTATTGACTGCCTCTTTCCAAAATAATGATTCCGAAGAAGACATAGCTTCTTTAAATGTTTGAGGCTTATTTTCCAATAAGAAAGTCACAAAATCTGGTCCAAATGAAGTAGACGTTCTTTGACGTTTACTACATCTTGGATCCTCCTGGTTAAGTGTATTTTATTTTGTTTCTTCCCGATGTCGTTTAGATCCTTCACCAATCGACTCACATTCCTTTTTATACTGATTCTATAACCGTATTATTATGAATGTCGGGGTTTTCTGATTTATGAACAAGAAATCGATATGCTTTCCTATTAGTCGCATATCCTATAAAAACACAATCAACGGTTTTTGGTCCTATTTTTACCCTTTTGGGTTTAGGAACTTGCACTTTTGCCAAACACCCCCAAACTTTAAAATAATTCAAGTTGGGCTTCCTTCCTTTCCATTTTTCATATGGAATGGATTGTGTTTTGCTATGGGGTACTCGATTTAGTATTCGTCTAGCCATAAGAACGGCTTCCCCCCACAAGTTCTGTGGCAAACCAGAACTTATCAATAATGCGTTCATCATCTCCTTTAATGAACGATTCTTTCTTTCTGCAATCCCATTGGATTGGGGCATGTAAGGGACCGTTGTTTGATGAATAATTCCATATTCTAAATTTGTTCAAAAGGAGATTCATATTCACCACCCCTATTACTTCTTATCATTTTGATTTTCTTGTTAATTTCAACTTCATTTTTGTATTGCTTAAATGCGTCTATTGCTTCATCTTTACTATTAAGTAAGTAAACATAGCAATATCGAGTACTATCGTCAATAAAAGTTATGAAATACTTCTTTCCACCGCGAGATGGTATTGACTTCGTATCTCAAATATCTGTGTGAATTAAGTCTAAAGGATCTGAATTCCTTTCAACTGACTTATAAGGATGTTTAACATACTTAGATTCCACACATATTTGACATTTTGATTTTTCACATTCAAATTTAGGCAATACTTCCAAATTAATCATTTTCCGCAAGGTTTTATAATTAACATGACCCAAACGTATATGCCATAATTCATTTGACTCAAGTAAGTAAGACGAAGCTGAAATTTTATTATTATTTTCAACAACCATTACATTCAGCTTGAAAAGGCCCTTAGTGAGGTAACATTTTCCTACAAACATTTCGTTCTTACTTATTACAACCTTATCGGAAACAAAAACACATTTAAAACCATTCTTAACAAGAAGTCCAGAAGAGACTAAATTCTTCCTAATCTCGGGAACATGAAGGACGTTGTTCAAAGTCACCACTTTGCCGGAAGTCATTTTGAGAAATATCTTCCCACATCCTTCAATCTTGGCCTTTGCGCATTTCCCATAGAAAGCGTCTCATCGGGTCCAACAGGAGCATAAGTAGCAAAAGCTTCTCTAACAACACAAACATAGTGAGTGGCTCCAGAATCAATCCACCACTCTTTAGGATTTCCTACCAAGTTGCATTCGGAAAGCATGGCACATAAGTCATCAACATCATCATGCTTTTCAACCATCTTTGCTTGACCCTTCTTCTTGTCTTTCTTCGGAGCACGACACTCCGTAGATTTGTGTCCGGCTTTTCCACAGTTGTAGCAATTTCCACTGAACCGCTTCTTGCTTGGGTTGTATTTCGATCCATAAGCCTTCTTCCTCTTTTTGTTCTCTTCAACAATATTTGCTCCCATTATTGTTGAGTTTCCACGGCCTCTCTTTTCAGCAGCTTTGTTGTCCTCTTCGATTCTCAACCGAACAATGAGATCTTCAAGGGACATCTCCTTGCGTTTGTGTTTCAAGTAGTTTTTGAAGTCCTTCCACAAAGGAGGTAACTTCTTAATCATCGCTACTACTTGGAATGCTTCATTGATGACAAGACCTTCAGCAAGGAGATCGTGAATAATCACTTACAATTCCTGGACTTGGGTAATAACAAACTTGCTATCTACCATTTTTGTAGTCCAAAGACTTTGCAGCAACGAACTTCTTCAACCCGGCATCTTCGTTTTTTTATTTCTTTTCAAGCGCAGTCCACAGTTCTTTTGACGTTTCCACGCCACTGTAGACGTTATACAAAGCATCCTCCAGCCCGCTTAGAATATAATTCTTGCACAAAAAATCTTAATGCTTCCACGCCTCAATCACGAGAAAGCGTTCAGTTTCTGGAGTTTCATCGGACATCACAGGAACATCTTCCTTGATGAACTTCTGAAGACTTAGAGTAGTCAAATAGAAGAACATCTTTTGCTGCCAGCGCTTGAAATCAATCCCGAAAAATTTACCGGGTTTCTCCGCCGGTGCCAATGCTGCCGGTGTTGTTCGGCTCGTTGAGGCATTGGCAGTCACCATTGGAACAGCTTGGTTCACATTATCATTAGTCATTTCTGTAAAAGAATGACACAAACGTAAAAATCACGTAGATTTTAATCTCCAGTAGAGTACAAAACCACAAAGGTTTTATTTTCCAGAAACAGTGAGTACAAATATAGAAAATATATTAAATTCCTTAAGCTTGTTAGTAATCTGTATTTGTAAAACAATTCCGGAGAAAATAAAATAACATAAACAGAAATGTAAACGAAATAACAAAAAATCAATTCGAGCCCACTGAATTCACAGTGTTTCCTTAAGGAATTTAATCCCCTCCTAGTACACAAGGTTATGGATTATTTCCTCCCAGAATAGAACGAATTACACATTGGTATAGTAGTACTTCAAACCCCAGTGTTTCAGCGAACACAAAGTTTGGTAGCAAATCACACTTACTTTTGCTTTCTTTGAAGTTAAAATATGTAGAAGAAAGGAGAAGAACTCAGAAAATTCGTATGGAAATTCTGAGCAGAATAGTCTTGTATTTATAGCCAAAGTTGGGCTGAAATCTTAAGAGGTGCAACTCTTCATAATGGTTGTTTATGCAAAACGGCCACAGCATAAATGCCATAACATAAATGGCTATTTACTCAACAATAAAGAGGGAAAATAAAGAGGGAAGTTTAATTTTCAGTTGCACAACTGAAAAACGGATTTGGATTTTTTACTATTAACAAATAAATTTGGTCCAAAAAATAAATTAATCAATCATTTGATCGAATCCGAATCCGAATCCGATCGAAGCCGAGCCGAGCGACGACGACGGCGCGAGGCTTGCCTTCTTCTCAACTCTTTAAGAGCTAGAAGAAGAGCAATTGCTTATATACCCATAAAAAACCTCTTCCTCTTCCAATATGGGACAATGTTCTTTTGTCAAAGGGGGAAACTTAAAATTTCACTTAAAAATTTCATTTCCCTCCATTTCCCATTCACCCTATTTTAAGTATATCATATACTTAAAATCCCAAAAATGGTGTCGACATATTGTCGCAATTCGATCTTTAAGTAAGTTTAGAGATAAGATTGTGTTGGCTTTGAGGCTTTACTACCTATCCGAATTGTATACAGAGAAGATAGATACCTAATGCCTGGCGGTCAGTCTGTGCTTCAAGCCAGTGCTGTTCAAACTGTATGTTGTAAAGAGCTGCTTCTAACTTTGATATCTGTTCCAGCAATGGATCAAAGTGCTCTGTAGCCATTTAGTCGAAAATATTCATACTTGGTAGTATGATAATAGAGTTGAAGAATAGAAAAAGATGAACCAAAACAGAGGATTATTACCATCTTTTGCATGCTGATCAAAGTATGTATAATGGACAACATGCACGTCGAAATACAAGGTTTCATGATAAGGCGATTTATTTGTGAAGCAAAACTGGTAAACGCCTTTTCTGTGAGCGACAAACTCATACTTTTCACTAGTCTTGTCGGGGAAGTTGTGAATCTGCTCTCCAGAAGGCCCTTTTATCTGAAAATTAAAACAGACTAACATTCAGAAACACTTGGTATGATGTAACAACACCAACAACAAACCCAGTGTAATCCCACGAGTGGGGTTTGGGGAGGGTATACCTTTACCTTGAGAAGGTAGAGAGGTTGTTTACGATAGATCCTCGACAGAAACAGTTGGTACAATGACGATAAGAGAAAAGGCAGTTCAAGATAAGATGGAGGAAACCAGAATCAACATGTTGTCCACAAGCACCAACCAAATTTCACTATTTCTACTTCTAATAAGAAAGTAATGCCACTAAAATTTGCAAGAAAAACTTCCTATTAGAAGCAAAGCGGTTAATGTAATGGAATTTAGGAAATAGAAGCTAGGGAATGTCACAGCTTCTACTTCAAGTTGAACACCAACTTATCAGGGAGTGGAGAACTAGTAGTACGGGGCAGCCCGCAGTGTTCATGCAGGATCCAGGGATGGGCCGCACCCATGGGGTGTGATGTAGGTAACCTACCCTGATGCAATTATCAATGGCTAATTCCACGGCTCGAACCCGCGACATCTAGGTCACACAGAGACAACTTTACCATTGCTCCAAGGCTCCCCTTCGGAACGGAGAACTAGTAAAACTTTTTAATCAACCTTTGGAAAGTTCAGAAGGAACCAGAAAGCATGTACAATGCAAATTCAAGTAGATATCATGTCTCTGTTGGTGTTTTCAGTTATCACATTCTAACTATGAGACAAGAGTTCATTCTCTCAGGTATGTGTACCAAATCTCAATTTCAACTATCAAACTACATGGTTCTTTAAGTACATTTCACAACCCCTTGGGGTGCGGCCCTTTCCCAGGCCCAGCGTGAATGCGAGATGCTTCATGCACCGGGCTGCCCTTTACACTAATCCCATTTTATTATTTAATGTGAATCGTGCTCCAAACTAGCACGAAAAACAATTTAATTTTTTATAAAATTGGTGTTTCATCCAACTTGTATGCATCTCAACTAATTTATTGAACAACCTATTACAGTTGCAAGTAGATGTGCCAGCCTGCCAGGTGAATCTGCCTACGATCTCCATAATTCTCTTCAATGTCTCAACCACTCGCTCATCCTTAGGCACAATTAGCATAAAAAAACATATCAACATACGCAAACATAATGGACTTGTTTTCATGTTTGTTCAAAGGGCAGACCAGTGCACGAAGCATCCGCCATTCATGCAGGGTCTGGAAAGAGTCGCACCTCGAGGGAGGTAATTTCTTATGTCTGTTCATAAGCTATATCTGGAAAAGCTTCAAACTGTGTTGTGAATCAATCAAGAAGCATTGAACGATAGAAATAGAAAAGAAAAGGGAAAGTGTAATCCCTGGTGAAAAAGAGAAAGTCAATACAACGGCGGATTTAGGGCAGGTTCAGCGCATTCAACTGAACACATTAATTTTGGCTCGAACAATGTATAAAAGAAGAATTAACTAAATAGTGAGTCCACATATAATATGTGTATAATCATGTATAATTAGTATATAATCTATGTATATCGGTTAGGAAAAGTAAACAGTAAATCTGGCTGGCTATTTGTGTAAAGATCCCTTATGTAATCATCTTGAACTCAGTGTCTCTAAATCTTCGATTCACCTCTTGAGTAAACACATCCCAATATCAGAATTTCAGAAGAATATTAGAATATGAAGAGGGAAATAAGGAGGATTAATTACCAGAAGGTCAACAGCACCCTCATTAGCAGAATGCCAGGGAGTGTCAGATTTGATAACAACAAAGGAAACATGAATAGTGTCACCTTCCAAATGAACATTGTGAGACAAACATTCTTCTCTCTCTATCACAAATCTAATCCCATAAATTCCCTGAAAACAAAACACTAAGAGAAACAGTGACACTGCAGCTGCCATTCTTGACATGTTTTCCCATAACCCAATTCCCATTTATGCAGAGGCGGATTCAGGACTTCAAATGATCGTGACTCGAAAAAAAAAACACAAAGATTTTTGAAAATGGAGTATTATCTATCTAACTGCCAAGACCAGGTTTATAGGTTCCACAACTTACACAAGGAGCTTGTTTTTCTCCTACTAGAATATTTTAGAATTTTACACTATTATTTAGGAGCGCTAATTTCATTTTTTATAGACATTTTTAAATAAATATTCAAATTTAGGTGTAAGAACACCCTTGATCATTAGGTCAGACTTTGCTTTGATATTTTAAGAACACAAGAGATGTTGCATTTATTATTTAGAGATGTACTAGCTTGTAAGATAAAGCATTTAAAAACTATATTAAATATTATTAATGAAAATCATAGTAGAGTACATGCTTGTAGCATTGTCGAAATAAAATAAAATAAAAACAAAAAAACACATCCTGATAATATGAATTTGATCTTTTAAATTTTATGCGTTGTCGGTATCTTTTAGAAGTAGTTTGGTGATGAGGATGAAGCTCCAATTTCCAACTGATTCAAATGATTGTTCAAATTAAACATAGCATTGTCTAACCACGCTTCAAACATTGTCATTTCATCAACATTGAGCTGCTCAATTGACTCCCACCAATCATTCTGTCTAGTTTTTGACATTTGGTCATAGAAACGTGTTTGAGCAATTGCTGCATCTTCTCTGGTATCAAACTCTTCAAGCCTACTATTGAGATGGTTCACTTTGTTTCGAGCATAAGCCGCAACTAGACGATCAGTCTCACTTAACTGCATATCAGGATTTTGAAAACAAGCAATAACAACATCAGTTGTAGGGTGAAAAAATGAGAAAGGCTTACCCGTAGGGGAAGAAAGTACGATTCCAATGTCAGCATCACATTGTGAAACAAGGTTGCTGGCCTTTTTGTATAAGCCTGTACGACGCTTTGAGAATGTGGCAAAGCGGTCGTCTTTGTTTTCTATTTTTTTTATTGCTATCTTTTGACGCCCTTTACTCTTCTTGCTCACCATGGCTAAATTTATAAAGAGAGTTGATAAAGGATTATTGATGAATCTTTTATCGAGAAATGGTATTTATATACATCAAGAACTACATCACAATGGCAATATCGCGCCAAATATTTTAAGTTAAAAAAATCTTTTCATCATATTGAAAAATTATAGTAGCAAAATGAAACCAATTTTAATACCACACCAATGAAATCCAAAATTTTAAGTTAAATAGGTAAATACTCTAATATACTTATGAAATTTACTAAGTTGGGGTAAGCAAATATGGATATAATTTGAGGAAAGACCAACTACGTGCCAAATCTCTCAAAACTTTCTTAATAAGAAATAAGAAGCAAAATCAAACTCATGACTTGCATTAACAAAATCAAATCTAAAAAGTCAACCCAAATATGAATATGTCTTAATGTGCTTGCTAAAATTCATCAAGTCCAGGTTGACAACAGTGAACAACTGACTATAATTAGGAGTCATACAAATTGCATGCCAAATTTTTTCGAATTTTATAGCAAATTAATCAAAGTACTCTTGACTGCTTTAATATAAATAACATTTTGAACAGGATCCTAAATCTAACTTGAATAGGTAAATACTTTAACGAAATAACACAATAAAAACCAACTTTCCATGTCCATTAATACCAAATCTGAAATTGGAACTTGAATGGGCAATTTTTTTAATGTACTCATTAATTTTACAGCAGTCACTATTTTGCTATATGTCATTATATTGACAGTGAAAGATTGTCATTTCAACGAATTGTTTTTCTTTTGGTTATTTCTTGGGCACTATAAAACCTATACACCACGCAAGCAGATTTAAAAATCATCTAAAAGTAATTTGAAAATAAAATAAAATCAATGGTATATGTGTACGTTCTGCGCGTTGCTTGAACTATCAATTGTGTATTGATTCGCCTCTTTATCATGTCACTACTTTTGAGAATTGAAAATCACACTTTATTTTTCAATCAGTTAGGGGCTTATTCGAAATATTTTTTTGATAAATCAAGTGTTCAACAGATCCCTAAAGTGTAAAAAAAGATAGCCCAGTGCACAAAGCATCCCGTATTTACGCAGGGTTCGGAGAAGCGTTATGCAGGGTTCGGAGAAGCGTCACACCTCCTAAGGGTGTGATGTACATAGTATACCCTAATGCAAGCATTTGTAGCTGCATCCATGGCTCGAGCCTGCGACCTATGAATCACACAGAGACAACAACACATGTTGCTCCAAGGCTCCCCTTCTGATCCCGAAGTGTCTAAATGAAAATTTCTACTAATAAGCAAGCCGTTTTCTAAATCGTAACGTTGCAATTTCCGTTGTGACCTCTTGACCATTTGAGCAACTTGACATTGCAAGTCGGAGGTGCAACCACCGCCATTTAAACCATCAAATGCAAATATGCATTTGACAATGCGCTGGCAATTTTTGACATTTTAACTATGCATTGATAAAATACAAATCCAGTCTTTCTAAGTCAAAGAAAGTGCAACCAAGAATGCAGCATAGGTGCTGCACTTGTTTCCAGTGCCACCTTCCCCGAGTATTGAAAATTGAAAGCCTGTGCACGGAATGAGATTGCTACAACGCGTTTTACCAGGTGGTTAAAGGACAAGAAATCTTGAAACATTGTAGAAACACAGCGGCCTGTTACCAAGCTAAGATACACCTGTTATAGAGGTAAAGGTATAAACAGGGGTTGGATCACTCTATAATCGTTTTTAACATATATACGTATCAAAACTTGGTTGAAATTGTAGCGCCTGCAAATATACACTCTCTTCCAAAGCTAATTTCTTATAGAGTCGCTGTTGATGAGTCATAAACTCCAAAAACAAATCTTTTGCCTGGTGTGCTCTTCTATATGCTTCACTTCCTGAGTGGACCACTATGAGGTCTTGGCAGATACTTTTAGCTTGACATATATCCTACACGAAAAAGAAAAGACGTAGGGGAGAGGGATCAACCTCAGTAAACTGAAATCAAACAACAGATATAAAACACGAAAAATAAAAACTGATAAAAAATGAAAGACATCACAAAAATACAAATGTACAGGGCTTGCCCCTCAAGAAGTTTAAAATTCTAAAAGGAATTCTTTCCTGTTATCACTCATCACTCAAAGTATTTGCTGATTGTATCTAGAACAGTCTTATCAAAGTATTTGCTGATTGTATCTAGAACAGTCTTGGAGTACAAGTTCAGTGGTGCGACTCATGAAGCGGAAGTTTCACAACTCATCCCTAGGAGAGGAAGTTTCAAGTACCTTGGGTCAATTATATATGAGAGGAGGATGAGTGTAATGACCCGATAGGTCATTTTGAGATTTAGCCCCTATTTCCGTGTTCCGATACCCTGATTAGCTTCGTTTAGCGTGTCTCGATCCATTTCCTCCGTCTGAGTCCCATTCCGGATAGCCTTTATGTGAAAAAGTTTAAGAAATATGAATTTTTGCCTTTAAAATGGTTTGAGTTGACTACGGTTAACATTTTGTGCAAACGGACCCGGATCGGTATTTTGACGATCCGGAGGGTCTGTATCGTATTTTGGACTTGAGCGTATGCCCGGAATTGAATTCGGAAGTCCCTAACTTGCTTTGGCTCATTTTACCGAAAGTTGGCATTTTTGGAAGTTCAAAATTTTCTAAGTTTGACCGTAAGGTGACTTCTTGGAATAGCTCTGTATTGCTATTTGAAACTTGTCTGCAAAATTTGGTTTAATTTGGAATTGATTTGACATGATTCGGACGCTTAAACGTGATTCTAGTGTTCTTGAGTTTCACTTTGAAAGTTCACTCGTTTTGAGGATTTATTCGTAGATTTAGATGTTATTTGGTGATTTGATTGCGCGAGCAAGTTCGTATGATGTTATTACACTTGTGCACATGTTTGGTTTGGAGCCCGAGGGGCTCGGGTGAGTTTCAAATAGCCTACGGATTGAATTTGGAGTTTGGAGATAGGTGATGGCTGATGCATTCTTTGTTGCTGGTGTGGTCTCAAATCTCGCATTTGCGAGCCTCACTTGCGAGCATGGGCTGGCTTGAGTGGACTCGCATTTGCGAGTGCTATGTTTGCATTTGCGAACTAGGCAGTGATCGCAATTGCAATCCAAGAGTCGCATTTGTGACTCAGCATTCCTCGAACCGTCTTCACATTTGCGAAGCAATGGTGCGCAATTGCGAAGGTTGGGAGTTCGCAATTGCGAACCAAATGTCGCATTTGTGACCACTGTGGGTCTGAGACAAGGTTCGCATTCGCGACCTCTTTCTCGCATTTGCGATATTCGAAATTGCGAACAAGACATCGCAATTGCGACATCTACAACTGGGTAAAAGGGGGGGAAAACGTGACTTAGCTCATATCTCACATTTTCTCAATCCTTAATACCCTAGAGGCCGTTTTCCAAGAGAATTTTCTTCCTAAATTCCTTGGTAAGTGACTTAAATCTATTTCTTTTCAATTACCCATTACATTTCATGAAATTTCAACATCAAATTTAGGATTTTCATGGTAGAAATTCTGGATTTCGATAGAATTAGGGATTTTTGTAAAATTGAGATTAGACCTCGTCTTGAGGTCGGATTTCGAAACAAATTATATAATCGGGCTCGGAGGTGAATGGGTAATCGGGTTTTTGTCCGAATCTCGGTTTTGACCAAGCGGGGTCGGGGTTGACTTTTCTTGACTTTTTCAAAAATGATCTAGATTGAACCTCTTTCATTCGTGGGTGGTTTGGAGGCTTGTTCAAAGGGCAAGGCCGTGGTTGAACTTTGAGTTGATTGCGATGTGAGGTAAGTGTTGGATCTAACCTTGATTTGAGGGAATTAGGGACCCTTAGTTATATGTTATGTAAATTACGTTTGGAACGGCGTATATTGAGGTGACAAGTGTATATGCGCCGTTGTGTTACTTGCTTCCATGTTTCGTTACTTCCTAGTATATCTTGTTACATGCCTTAATTGCCATATGCTTATTTGACTTCCATACTATAATTGTTACTTGTCATTTAGTTATCCATGCATTAATTGTCCATCTCGCCCATGACTCTATGCTTAATTGCTAATTGTCTCTACTTGCTTTACTTGCATATTTAATTTGTCTCATGTCTTACTTGACTTATTGTTTTGTAATATTTGTTGCCTTCTATGACGTAGTTACACTTGTATGAATTGTTAATCGATAGATATCAATAAGTTGTTGTAGTTGAGACATACGAATTGTTAGAAATTCCTCGATTATTACGTGATTCTTCATTTCCTCGTATATTTAGAGCCCGTTTGGACATAAGAATATTTTCACTTTTTTGTGAAAATTTTTCACTTTTTTGGAAATTAGTATTTGGCCATAAAATTTCCAAAATTCACTTAAAGATGAATTTTGAAATTTTAAAACTCCAAAAAGCTGTTTTTCAAAAACTGTTTTTCAAAATTTTCACTTGAAAAAAAAAATTTCACCTTTTTTTGGAATTTTACAATTCCATTATATAAGAACAAAGGTGATATCCAGAGCTGCAACAACTATAGGGGTATCAAATTACTGAGTCATACCATGAAAGTTTGGGAGAGAATGGTAGAAATGAGAGTGCGAAGGACGGTGTCTATTTCAGACAACCAGTTCGGATTCATGCCGGGGCGATCTACCACAGAAGCTATCCACCTTATTAGGAGGATGGTGGAACAATACAGGGATAGGAAGAAGGATCTCCACATGGTGTTTATTGATCTGGAGAAAGCGTACGACAGGGTTCCTAGGGAGGTCTTATGGAGCTGCTTAGAGGATACAGGGGTCCCGGTTGCCTACATTAGGGTGATTAAAGACATGTATGCTGGAGCTAAGACTCGGGTTAGGACAGTAGGAGGCGACTCCGAGCATTTTCCAGTTGTTACGGGGTTGCACCAAGGGTCTGCGTTTAGCCCATTTCTATTTACCCTGGTGATGGATGCACTAACTCATCATATATTCAAGGGGAGGTGCCATGGTGCATGCTATTTGCTGATGACATTCTTCTAATTGACGAGACACGAGGCGGCGTCAACGAGAGGCTAGAGGTTTGGAGACATGCCCTTGAGTCTAAAGGTTTCAAGTTGAGCAGGACGAAGACGGAATACCTCGAGTGCAAATTTGGGGTCGAGCCGACGGAAGCGGGAGTGGAAGTGAGGCTTGACTCTCAAGTTATTCCCAAGAGGGGTAGTTTCAAGTACCTTGGATCGGTTATTCAGGGGATCGGGGAGATCGACGAGGATGTTACACACCGTATAGGGGTGGGGTGGATGAAGTGGAGGTTAGCGTCGGGAGTCTTGTGTGACAAGATAGTGCCGTTACTAAAAGGTAAGTTTTATAGAGCAGTGGTTAGACCTGCCATGTTGTATGGGACTGAGTGTTGGCTGGTTAAGGACTCACACATCCAGAAGATGAAAGTAGCAGAGATGCGGATGTTGAGGTGGATGTGCGGGCATACAAGGATGGATAAGATTAGGAATGAAGACATTCGAGAGAAGGTGGGCGTGGCCCCAATGGAGGACAAGATGCGGGAAGCAAGACTCAGATGGTTCGGACATATTCAGAGGAGGAGCACTGATGCACCGGTGAGGAGGTGTGAGCGACTGGCTGTGGTGGGCACGAGGAGAGGTAGAGGGCGACCTAAGAAATATTGGGGAGAGGTGATCAGGCAAGACATGGCGCGACTTAGGATTACTGAGGACATGGCCCTTGACAGGGAATTGTGGAGGTCGAGCATTAAGATTGTAGGTTAGGGGAAGTTGTGAATATTTCTACAGCACACTAGAGTGAGACTAGCCAGTTAGGGGTTAGTCTTAGGATGTTACTGGTCATCTACTGATGCAAGGCTTTAGCTGCTGGTTATTACTATACCATCCATCTATTCCGTATTTCTTATATTGTTGTTACTTTATTATGAGTCTATTGATGATACTAATATATAATCTCTTGTTGCTTTTTTGAGCCGAGGGTCTCCTGGAAACAGCCTCTCTACCCCTCGGGGTAGGGGTAAGGTCTGCGTACATATTACGCTCCCCAGACCCCACTTGTGGGATTATACTGGGTCGTTGTTGTTGTTGTTGTTGTTGTTGTTTGGAATTTTACAATTCTTATGTCCAAACGCCCACTTACTCTCTTGATGTGGAAATTCTTGTAAATTTTGGTTGTTGAATTGCTATTATTGTTTGAAATTGTTTGAGGAGCAAGTTGCACGCCGCAACGGAAATTGAAAGGTAATGTGTTGAAATGGTGGAATAAGGACGGATTTTGATATTGACAGATGATGATGTGGTAGGATCGGGTTACGTGCCGCAACGGATTGTATAAATTGTATTTATTTGTGATTGTTGGATGTGCCTCGGTACTTAAAATGAGCTTATAAGACTTGTTATTCTTGGCTCTCTAGTAGTTGGATTTTGAATTCGTTGTTACGGGTTAATTGCCTTATTTCCATTTCTGTCTTTTCCATTATTGCTAAAACTGTGTACAGGTTATCGTAAGTGACCCGCCTTAGCCTCGTCACTACTTCGTCGAGGTTAGGCTCAACACTTACATAGTACATGAGGTCAGTTGTACTCATACTACACTCTGCACTTCTTGTGTAGATGTCGGAGTTGGTCCCAACTGCGTTGTATGAGGTTGCTCGGATCCAGCTATTCAGAGGAGACTTGAGGTATAGCTGCACGACGTTCGCAGCCCTGGAGTCCCCTTCGACATCCCTTTTAGCTGTTTATCTTGTTTCGGACAGTTATGTTTTGTTCAGACCATTATTTGTAGTATTCTAGACGCTCATGTATTCGTGACACCAGATCTAAGATTGTAATTGAATTTCGTCATTTATTAGTTATCACCTTATTTCAGATTGTTCGGTATTATTGTTGTCATTTAATTTGAAAATTGTTAAAAATAGTTAACAGATATAGCTAACATTGGCTTGGCTATAAGGTGAAATGTCACAGTCCCGAAGGTGGACATTCCGGGTTGTGACAATGAGGAGATTGACGAGGATGTCACACATCATACTACGGGCAGGATAAGGTGGGCGTAGTCCATGTGGAGGACAAAATGCGGGAAGTGAGACTTAGATGGTTCGGACATGTGAAGAGGTGGAGTGAGGTGATTAAACAAGACACGGTGATGCTCCAGCTTACCGAGGACATGACCTTGACAGAAAGGTGTGAAGGTCAAGGATTAGGATAGAAGGTTAGGTAGCCAAGTGGTTTCATTATTCATACTAGTAGTATTAGTACGTATTCTGGTATTGTTTTTTAGTCTTAGGTTTCTATTATTGCCTGTTGTTTCTTTCATTTTGGTCATCTTACTATCTTGTTATTATTAATGCTTCTTTTCCATGGCTCCTCACTGTTGTTTCTGGCCGTTTTCTTTTCAATATTGTTGTGCTTATGCTTCACTGAGCCGAGGTTCTATTGGAAACATCCTCTCTGTCTCTACGAGGTAGGTTATGGCATGCATACACACTACCCTCCCCAAACCCACTATGCTGGATTACACTGGGTATGTTGATGCTGTTGTATCTAGAGCAGTCTTGATTGTTCAGATTGCATGTAGTTGATTTTACCAGATATGAAGTAATTTCCTTCTATATTTTCACTTTCTTCTATTTCTTTTCCTTCTATTTTTTCCTTATGCATGTTATAGAGGTCAGGTGACCGAATCAACAAGGTCTGGAGCCACTATGCCCTAGCTCTTCCTTGGCAGCTCGTCATGAGACATTTAGTTCCTACGTTTAAGCACTTTTACAAGTATGTCTAAGGAACACAATTTCCTTAAGATCATGAGTATACAAATTTTATCCACATAAATTTGATTATTACAGCAACTGATCTCACATTCTAAGCTCACCCGTTTTCCTGCAGTTAAATGTAAATCAGGTTGTGACAACTGGAGCATCCAGTTCTCTGGACTAGCTACGAGTAACTATTTAGATATGCATGCTGCTAGATTATCAAACAACCTCGTATATATGATATTTTCCAATATGTCTTCTACCAAACTCCTCCGTGAAGTAGCTCTGACAATACAATGTGCCATGCTGCATGTTTAACAAATGTGGGTCCATGTCCTACACCTTTTTCTAATCTATAACAAATAAAATGGTATCAGTCTTACCTGGGATCCGTACACTAAGCTCCCAAGCGACAGCTTAATCATGGTATGCCTTAAATCTCTCACACTTATAACCACTGGCCTGTAAAAGACAAATGGAAACAATACATGACTCCATAGGCATTTCTCAATCTAGAATATCGATGCACATGCATGAAAACATGATTTTTACTTTTAAACTGAATTAGTATCTACACATCTAGCATAAATTGCTAGCCATAGAAGTATGTTAAACAGCATTAAAGACCCAAGGTAGTGGCACATAAAACCAGAGTATTACGCTTCCTTTGCAGCTCTCACTTTAGAAGTAGATACTGAGGGATCCCCAAAAGAATCAATTTTCATATTCTGAGAATGAGAAAAAAAAAAAAGGAAACAAATAGGGCCTCAAAGTATATAACTTTTTCAAGCAATCATTAGTAAATGGAAAGTAGTATGATCAACCTTATTCATACGCATTGATTCTGGAGACCTGTTTCCCTAAGAATCCAGCTAGTTATTTCTAGATGTTTAAACAAGGTAAAAACAACTTAACATTTCATGAGAAGTCCATTCCTTCTACATGATTGGCACATCAAATCTATACATTCTAATTCTATGACAGATTGGAAAACATAGAGGATCTTGAGATACCTATATCATAAGGAACTCCAAATGGCATGGACAGGAAAAGTAAGCAGCATCAAAAAGCATTCGAGCAAGAAAGGAAGTAGCATTAAACGGAATATGACGCAAAAAAGTAGCATTTAGAGCTGAGTATTCTTCCTGTACTGTAAATTTCTTTAGAAGCTGATTTGCAGAGCAAAACAACACTTTCAACTTCATAAGCAGAGTTCAGGACCAAGGAAAAAGACATATGCTATTGATGTAACCACAGAGCAGGCCTCAAACAAGTGGTGCAGCAGAATAGCACTAAGGTATTTGAGCAACTCACAAGCTCGGGAAATATAAGCATGACATATGACAGTTCTTTCTTCCAAGAAAAATAAAAAGAAAAAATCTCAGAAGACAAGCATGCTTGAGAAACTTTACATCATGACTACATGCACTATTCTATCCAAAAAAAATTGACTGGCTGGGTAATTGTGGCAAGGAATCTCTAAGCAGAACAACCTAAAACCTGTCTAAGCAAGTTTGATCCAGGCCAAACATGATCCTAAGCTGAATGAAAATGTGTTTGAGCTCATAATCTGTCTAGATGCAGGGAACCAATGATTCTGACACACCCGAAGTCCAATAACTAGAAGAAACAACATAATTCTAATGGGAGCTAGATTCTAATCTATTCAAGTCTAATACATGTGGGAATAATATATAACACAATAATAACTGAAGCCTAAATATTGTATTGATACTAATAACATATAAATCTTTCCAATGAATATATTACACCACAATGAAAGAAGAGAGGTGACAAAAGGATCAACGACAACTTTAAGGAAGAAACTGATTTAGAAAACGCACCTTCCCCTAGAGGACACAATAAGGTGGGTTGGATTATCCAAAAACTGCTGTATCTTCTGAAGCTTCTTTTCACAATCTACCACAATAATGCCTCTTGCATAGGGCATATATGACGGGCAGGGAAAAACATGTACTTGTGACAAAACAGAAGTGTGTTCATGTATGAAATCCGTCAGTGAAGATGGCAACAAGTTCCTCTCCAAGTTTTCAACCAGAATGAGATGGTAATTTGAACACTGCCCTCCGAGATCTTTATCATGATCCCAGTGCCTGCTATAGTTACAATCTGTTGCTGCAGTTCACAATGAAGAACTTAAGAAAGTGCAATTACCACATCGTAACAGGTGATGGAGTTCTGTAGCACACCTTCTGCTGTGCATCTCACGTCAACCATATTCTTGGCAATGCTTATACCCTACACGAAAGGAAAAGGAGAATGATTTAGGCACCTTCATGTGCATCATCACTCAAATTCATGAACATTATTAGGTGATAACTTGCCTTGGAGGACGAATCTGACTTTTGTGCAGAAGACAAATATCTACCTCTTTTATTACGAGACAATCCTCTAGATGCTGGACTGTCTTGCTCAGAAGTACAAGTCGACTTGCAAGAGGATTTTCTGAGTTTCTGGTTTGCCAATTTCACGAAGGAAGCTAGTCTAGGATCAACTTGCGGTGTGCCCTTTATGATACATATGCCTTCAATCCCAGAAGCAGTCATGCAATCCTTCTTTGGACCATGAAGCCAGGATAAGACAAAGGTACATAAACACTCCTCCATTCCACTGTGAAATGAATGGTTCACATTGTGTATCTACCAAAGATTGGAATAAGACAATTTGAAGCAAGTGAATCAAAGCCAACAAACCAATTTGAATTAGGTAGGCCCCTCCCTTTCGTCTTTGAATCATTCTACTTTTACTGTATATTTAAGACAAACCCATAATTTAAAGCAACAAAACAACAGAAGGTAATGACCGACAAAATAACGAGGTTCAGCAGTAACGCCTACATCCTAGAACAAGAAGGTGCGAAAATTTCAATATGCTGAAAGAACAACGCTAAAAATCTTTCCCCAATTCTCAGAAACCTTAGTCCCCAATATGTTCACAAACACTCTCCGCTTAGTTTTTCTCACACTCTTTCTCTTCCTTTTCCTCCTTTTCGCACCCTAAACTGTAAAGAAAACCTCCTTTTATACAAGAAGATAATCTTGTCGTTTTAAGAAAAAACATTTTTGAATATAAGAAATATTAGATTATCACATATAAGGAAGAGCGCGCACAAAATCTGGAGCACAACTAAGGCAAAATCCTTATTTGTTCCGGTTACCATAAAATTCAAGCGACATCAACAAGTATTCCCTTTGCTTGAATTCCTCCATCATCAACAACGAATTATCTAATCACAGCATCTTGCCAAATTACCCTGACAAGGTGTCACTTAGTACTACCAACTCCAACCAAATCTAGGCAATATTTAGACTCGTACCAACTAAATATTTAAAAATTAAGCTTTTCAAACATTATAAGTTCTGTATATTTTTTGTTGGCACACAAATCTCTTATAAGACTAAAAGACTCTTAACGAACATTGGGTTTAATATAAACCAACCAACATGACTATACCTTAATCTCAAGTTAGGTATCACCTGTATGGATTTTTTTCTTTCAATGTGTCCTATATTGCCAAATGTGCATAGATTCTAAGAGATTGCTGGTCCTTCCGGACCAACTTGTTCCATATATTTTTAGGTCTATGTGATCCCTTGTTAGCCACCATGATTTCACACACATTAATTGGTGCATCCGAAGTAGGACATCACCAAACCATCTCAAACGACCTTCTCTCATTATATATTCTTTTTTAATCAGCAGCTCTTATTTTCTTTTTTTGGATAACCATGGTGTCCAGGTAATCTTGTGTGCACCTCAACTAATTTCACAGGATACTAGCTGCAACTCAAGTCCCACAGCACAAGTACCGAATAACTCTATCTACCAAGACTTGGCCCGATAAGAAGAAATCACCTCATGGTTCTCAATCCACTTCATTGACCACTAAGAAAACTCTCATTTTATAGATATATGTTACTTGCACCTCATGTCGAACGTGATCATCTGTGATCTTGTATGACCATACATCCATCTTATTATTCGTTTTTGTGTGACACTCATCTTGTGGATGTGTTGGACCTTAGAGGCCCATATTTACTCTAATAGCATTACTGGTCTTACGACCATTCTAAGAACTTTCCTACTAACTTTGTTAGATATCCTCATATAGCATCACTTCAGAAGCGCTTATTCATTTCAACTACCCAATTCTTGATATGTGCAGCTGCCTCGCCGATTATACCTTTCTCTTGGAATATCAAGCCTAGAGTTCTCAATTGTTTGCATTTAGGGATTGGTCAAATCCATCAATGCTTCAAAGGTATAATAGAGCTCAGGGACTTTAGACCAATAAGTCTCATTGGAAGTATGTATAAAATAGTGGCTAAACTTTTAGCAGAAAGGATAAAGACAGTGATGGGGAAGCTTATCTCGAGGGAACATAATGCATTCCTTAAAAAAAAGACAGATAACTGATGCAGCAGTCATAGCAAATGAGCTATTGGATGAGAGACTAAAAAGTGAAGTCCCTGGAATTTAATGCAAAGTGGACACAAAGAAGGCATTTGATCAAGTGAGTTGTCCTACCTACTACCAACACTAAGAGGAATGAGTTTTGGTGAAAGATGGATCATGTGGAGTTCAGCCTCACCACAGTCAAGTATTCAGTCCTTGATAATAGATCTCCAGTTGGCTTCTTCACCCCTCGGAAAGGGATTAGGCTAGGAGACACCCTCTCACCTTCTCTTCATCATAGCAACGGAACGCATGAGCAAAATGCTTGATAAAGCAAGGCAGTTACAATGGATTGAAGGGTTCAGGATAAACAACAACTCAGGGAATTCGATCTCAGTCTCCCATCTACTATATGACACACTAAATTCCGGTGGGACTGAAAAAATGCAGCTACAGTACCTTAATCTAACCCTCCTTATTTTTGAATCTATTTCAGGTTTGCACGTAAACATGCTGAAAAACATGATATATCCTGTAATGTGGTGCCTGACTTGGAAGAACTGGCAGGCATAATGCGTTGTGGCATTGGCTCATTTCCTACAACCTATCTTGGACTACCCTTGGGAGCCAAACATAAGTCAGTGGAGGTGTGGAATGGTGTGATTGAGAAAGTGGAGAAAAGGTTAACAACATGGCAGATGCAATATCTCTCAATGGTTGGAAGGGTGACTCAGATTAATAGTGTCCTGGACAACATACCAACTTACATCACGTCCCTCTTTCCTATGCCAAGTAAAGCCCAAAAACAGCCGGACAAATTGAGGAGATCCTTTTAATGGGGAGGTAGCAGTGAAGGTCACAAATTCCATCCGGTGAAGCGGGCAATTGTAATTCAACAAAAGTCACAAAGTGGACGAGGCATTAGAGATCTCCCAAATCACAACAAGATTTTGCTAATGAAGTGGCTTTGGAGATATGGGCAAGAACGCACTAGCCTATGGAAGGAAATAGTGAAAGCCAAGTATGGTCAGCTGGATAATTGGAGCACTAGAACTGCTAGAGCTCCTCATGGGGTTGAGCCCGGGAAAAACATCAACAGCTTGAAGGAAGTCTTCCAACAAGATGCGTCCTTCATAGTTGGTAATGGAACACGTGTGAAATTTTGGAAGGACAAGTGGCTAGAAAACTTCACACTGCAAGAAACTTATCCATTTTTATTCCAATTAGCAACTGATCCTAACTCAATAGTAGCACATAATAGATCAGACAACATTTGGGATGTCCTTTTCAGGAGAAACATACAAGACTAGAAATAGGAGGAGTGCTTGATCTACTTAGAAGGTTAGGAAACTTTACAATGAATATCCAGCACACTAATAAGCTAAGATGGGGCACCTCTAAGGAAGGTGTATAACAAACTATGTGCGTCGAATGAGGTTATTGACCTGTGGCCTTAGAAGCTAATTTGGAGAACCAATCTGCCTACAATGGTTAGTAGTTTTCCATGGACGACTCTTAAAGGTGCTATTTTGACTCAAGACAACCTTTGTAGGAGGAGCTTCCAGATTGTGAATAGATGCCACATGTGCCAGCTCAATTCAGCATTAATCAACCATCTATTTTTGCATTGCACAGTGGCTACTGATCTCTGGCATATGTTCTTTTCAATTTTCAGTGTCAGTTGGACACTACCTCAGAGCACCAAGGAAGCAGTTGAAAGTTGAAGCTTTTGGAAAGTCAACGGGCCATCAAAAGTTTCTGGAAAATGATCCCAGCGTGCATATTTTGGTGTCTTTGGATAGAGAGGATTCGAAGATGTGTTGATGGCATGTCCTAATCACTTCTTGAGAGATAGATGTCTGTTGTATCTTTTTAACTGGAGTAATATCTCCCCTGTGAATAATGTTATCCCCTTTCTAGACTTTATTGGCTCACTGAGCCTGGCCTGATGGCCAACTTTTTTGGTTAGCTTCCTATGATTAGAATAAAACATGAAGTACTGAGCTAACACCTCTCCTTTTGTACTATTTGCATCTTCTTGATGCCAGCATACAACACCTTATTTCATAAATAAATAAAAGAGATTGGACTTCCTCTATCTCACACCATTTATACTGGCTAGACTTTATAATGCATAAATTTTGTTTTACTTCTACTTATGTTAAAATCCTTATTCTCTAGAGTGCTTCTCCATAATTCAAACTTTAGGTTGACACCCTCGCTAGTTTCGTCAAAACACAATTTCGTAGACAAAATAACTTATACCATGGGACTTCATCATGTATATTGTTAGTTAATTGGATAAGCAAGTCTGAGCTCAATGCCAATTCCCGCTGAACTCACAGTTAGGAGAAGCTCCTTTGTATCTCCTACCACTCTTTTTACACTAATGAAGGTATTTTAGTCATCACTTGTTAATAACATAAATCTCAACATTCATCTTTCTTGATTCTTTTGAGTTTTGATAGTTGAAAAAGCAAAGAAGATTACGTGCAACTATTGATAACAAGGAAATAAACAATACGTTTACACCTGAAACATATCAAAGAAGAGTATCTATGTCATGAGAATGTTTTACTTATCAAATTTTGCTCTGGTGAGCTGACAAATCGATATGACTATGAATAAACTAATATCAAATAATATTAATCAAGATGCATAAATCCTGAATTATGTGTGATCAACCACATGAATCTTCTATATCCTAGAATTCAAAGGATTCATCATAGTTACACTATGTCAACCTACCTCACCTTCCTCCTTTATCCGTGCTATGCTTAAAGCATCACAAAAGCGAGTTGATTAAAGCAACAAATATGCAAATAAATTTCTGAATACCTAAGCTCGTGTCAACATCCATAACTGAGAAATTGACAGCATCATAATGTAATAGATATCATTACCTCAATAGATATATCTAAAAAAAATGCTCAAACAAAAGAAAAAAGCTTACGGCTTCAACAACGGCATCGTAAAAGAGCATATCATCCTTGCCAAAAGCATTACACGCCGCACAGACAAGCATCCCTTCCTTCATGACACTACCGCACTCGCTATCCTGCAGCTGCGGCGAAATATTCCTAAACCTACCAACGAATTCATCGATTTCTTCCTCCGATTTGAAATCCTGAGCGGCGATTTTCGAATCGTATGTCTCCGGATATCCCTCGTACTTCACCGTTAACGTCTCGCCGTTCACCACGACTAGTACACCGTACCATGAGTCGTCCTCCTTAGCTCGGTACTCTAGGTCGTACTTTGCCGGCCTTCTGCCGGAGTTTTTCATTTCCGGTGACGTAGATTTGGGATCTTCTAGAAACTGGGAATTTGAATGATGACGTGTAGCAGTGGAGGTACCTGGGGTGAAATGGAATTTGCAGAGTGATGACTGATGAGCAGTGAGGTGGGGGGGGGGGGGGGGTTGGGCATGCAGGAGGAACACGTGGCCTTGTATAAATAATTAAATTTAGTTGTTGTAATAACACAATAAAAGTAGAATAACAATTGCAGAGAAAGAGAAATTAATTCTTATTGAATTTTAGGATGATTTACAATGGGGTAAGACACGTAAGATCGTAAGACATTATCGCCTTCGCGGCACTGGATTATATTTCCGTCATTTCCGGAAAGTGCACGGACAGCCGCCATTTCCCCCTTTCACAATGTTCTCGTGAAGTTTTATTTATAGGGAAAAAAAGACTTAGCCACAAAGTAAAACTCTCTAAAAGATAGACATTCACTCTGATTACAATTATATTCATAACACTCCCCTTGAATGTCTACTCAATAAGTAATGTGCCTCGTTAAAACCTTAACTAAAATAAAACCCAATGAAAAAAAATCTTGTAAAAGAAAAAGAGTACACATATCTAACAATATGCCTTTTGGTTGCCTCGTTAAAAACCTTGCAAGGAAAACCCAGTGGGACAAAACCTTGCAAGGGAAAAAGAGTGCAACGCGTAGTAATTCTCCCTGATGAGAGCATCATTTCACATCCTTGAGCCTTCGCATCCTAATCTTGTGCACTAGCTTCTTAAAGGTTGACGTCGCTAGAGATTTTGTGAACAAATCAGCCATATTATCACTTGAACGAATCTGTTGCACATTGATATCACCATTCTTTTGAAGATCATGTGTGAAAAATAACTTTGGTGAAATGTGTTTTGTCCTATCTCCTTTTATGAATCCTCCCTTCAATTGGGCTATGCAAGCTGCATTGTCTTCATACAAAATCGTGGGTAGTTTGTCACATTTCAAACCACATTTGTCTCGAATAAGATGTATTATAGACCTCAACCACACACATTCTCGACTTGTTTCATGAATAACAATTATCTCAGCATGATTAGATGAAGTAGCCACAATGGATTGTTTAGCCGATCGCCAAGACATGGCAGTGCCTCCACAAATAAACACATAACCTGTTTTGGGATCGAGCCTTGTGTGGGTCAGATAAATACCCAGCATCAGCATAACCAACGAGATCGGGACTGTAATTATTTTCATAAAATAAGCCCCGGTAGTCCCTTTTAGATACCGCAATATGTGTTTGATTTCATTCCAATATCTCCTTGTGGGAGAAGAGCTATATCTTGCTAAGACATTAACTGAAAAAGTTATGTCAGGCCTTGTAGTATTAGCAAGATACATTAGTGCACCAATTGCACTAAGATATGGTACTTCAGGACCAAGTAGCTCTTCATTCTCTTCTTGAGGTCGAGATGGATCCTTGTTCACGTCAAGTGATCGAACAACCAGCGGAGTACTTAATGGATGTGCTCCATCCATGTAAAACCGTTTCAATACCTTTTCTATGTTGGTAGATTGATGAACGAAAATTCCGTTTGCCAAATGTTCAATTTGCAAACTAAGATATAATTTTGTCTTTCCGAGATCTTTCATCTCGAATTCCTTCTTTAAATAATCAATTGCCTTTTGGAGTTCTATAGGAGTTCCAATAAGGTTTATGTCTTCAACATATACGGCAAGTACAACAAATTCCGATGTTGTTTTCTATATAAAAACACATGGACAAATGGCATCATTTATATAACATTCCTTTAATAAATACTCACTAAGACGATTATACCACATTCGTCCTGATTGCTTTAGATCATACAAAGATCTTTGCAATTTGATTGAAAACATTTCCCGGGGCTTTGAATTATGTGTGTTAGGCATTTTAAACCCCTCGGGAATTTTCATGTATATCTCATTATCAAGTGAGCCATAAAGGTAGGCGGTAACCACATCCATTAAATGCATGCCAAGCTTTTCATGGACAACAAAACTAATGAGATAACGGAACGTTATAGCATCCATAACGGGTAAATATGTCTCTTCATAATCGATACCAGGCCTTTGTGAAAATCCTTGTGCAACAAGGCGTGCCTTATATCTTTATACCTCATTTTTCTCATTCCTCTTGCGTACAAAGACTCATTTATAGCCAGCAGACTTAACACCATTAGGTGTTTGGACTACAGGCCCAGAAACTTCATGTTTTGCAAGTGAATTCAACTCTGATTGGATTGCGTCTCGCCATTTTGGCTAATCACGTCTTTGTCGACATTCTCCAACAGATTGAGGTTCAAGATCCTCACTATCTTGCATAATTCTAGATGCAACATTATATGCAAAGACATAATCCACCACTATATCCAATCGATTCAAATTTGTCTCAATATCGATTGGATTTATTGATAGTTCCTTATTTTCTTGAGTGTCAGGCTCAGTGATTTCCTCATGAATCTCAGGATTGGTTAAATCGTGGATTTCTTCATGAGACTCTTTCGTAGTGTCATCTTGATCATTTGTTTTCCTTTTTCTACGATTTCGATCCTTAGAACCTAATGGTCTACCACGTTTTAAGCGTGCTTTTGACTCATTAGCTATGACACTAGAAGATTGTCCAATAGGGACATCAATACTGTGATGACCCAAAGGGTCATCACCTGTTTCCTCATTCATTCTGTGCTTCTGAGGCCTTGAAAACCTCATTTTTACTTGCCTCGATTTGCGTGCACAGTCCGAGCACGTAGCCGGAAAGCTTTTATGTTGAAATATGTGAATTCTGTGAAAAATTTGAAGAATTTTGATATTAATATGTTTAAGGTTGACTTCGGTCAACATTTTTGGTAAACGGACCCGGACTCGAGATTGGACGGTCCCGGAAGGTCCGTAGAAAAATATGGGACTCGGGCATGTGCCCGGAGTCGAATTCCGAGGTCTAGAGCCCGAGAAATGAATTTTTCTGTGAAATTGTTTTTTTGAAATTATTAAGGAAAATGGAAATAAAAATTGATTAAAAGACTGTGGTATCAGGCTCGTATTTTGGTTCCGACGCCCGGTACAAGTCTTAAATATGTGTTAAGCGCTTTCTGTAAAGTTTGGCCGAAATCGGACGTCGTTTGACGTGTTTCGGACCTAAATATCTAAAGTTTGAAGTTTATGAAGTTTGAAAGGAAAATGATGATTTTGAGGCTTGATCCAATGATGTTGAGGTTATTTTGGCGATTTGATCGCTCGAGTAAGTTCGTAAGATGTTATTGAGTTAGGGTGTGTGATTGGTTAGGAGCCCCGAGGGCTCGTGAGTGTTTTCGGAGGTGTTCGGGGTGGTTTTGGACTTAGGATGATATCAGATTTTCTGCAATTTTTACACAGGGATTTCCTTCTTCGCGATCGCGCTCTTCCCCACGCGATCGCATAGCACTGAGTCGTCTTCCTTCGCGATCGCGTCTTGAACCACGCGATCGCGTAAGCCAAATCCTTGGATCCCCAGTAGTTCTTCTACGCGATTGCGTAACCCTCCACGCGATCGCGATGACCAGTCAGTGGTACCCTTCGCGATCGCATCCCTATTCCCGCGATCGCGTAGGGCAATTTTGCCCAGCGAATTTTTAAGTTAAAAACAAAACAATAGCACGGGATTTTTCATAAAAACACACGAAACCCTTTCTTCTCCAAGCACTTAGGCGTCCATTGAAGCTCCCTTTCATCAAAACTGCTTGGGTAAGCATTGTTCAACTTGTTTCCTTCAATTTCCTTCATTAATTAGTGAATTCCTAGCCCTAAAAACATGAAATCAAGGTAGAAATTATGGGTTTTGGGTAGAGTTAGGGTTTTGAGAATTTTGGGTGATTCAACCTCAATTTGGGGTCGAATCTTAAAACAAATTATATATTTGCACTCGTGGGGTTATGGGTGATCGGGTTTTGGTCCGAGCCTAGAGTTTGGACCATGTGGGCCCGGTGTCTAATTTTGGTATTTTTGGAATAATGCTAGAAAATTCATATCTAGGCTATGAGAAATTGCCATTGAGTCTTTATTGATATTGTTGAATTAATTATGCCTAGATATCACTGTATTGGAAGTGGAATCACGAGGTAAAGCGATAGTTGTGGATTAAGTAGATTTCAAGGCTTTGTGGTAAGTGTTTGGTTTAACCCTAGCTTGAGGGAATAGGAGTTGAGTCTTGTTGCTAATTGCTATGTGATCGAGTACGATGTATAGGCATTGTGACGAGTATCTATACATTGGTGTCTAGCATGACCGTGAGTCCTTATAACGTGATTATCATGACTTGGTTGTGAACTCCGTGTTTATTGGAGATTTTCTATATGTTGTGAATAGCATGTGAACGGTAATATGATCATTTGATTTTCCTGGGAGCATAGGCTCGAATTGTGATACGAATATTGAAATCATACGAAATGACTTGATTCTTCGGAGCGTTGGCTCAAAATAGTAGAGTGAATTATAAGATAAGAAAAGTAAGAAAGAGAAAGCGTTGTTGGTTATTCCCTTGCCGGGATGTTTGTCAAATATTTATTTATTTTTATGCCCCTTAATTGTGACTGTTGTTTGGGGAGTCGGACTATTAAATGATACTGAGGATCGGGTTGCGCGCCGCAACAATGATATTGAGGATCGGGTTGCGCGCCGCAACAATGATACATGATAAATGATATGGGTCGGGTTGCACGCCGCAACAGTGGTATTGTGGAGCGGGTTGCACGCCGCAACAATAGTAATTATGGAGCGGGTTGCACGCCGCAACAGTTATTGAGGCTATGTGTTTGTATTTGAGTATTGATTCTTTGTTCATTGTGAACCTAAGCTGTTTTAGTTGTTACTCTGGATTGCTGTTAATATTGTATCTCCCCTTAGCATGTCTCCCTCCTCTTGTTGTTAATTACTTGACATTCGATTCCCGTTGTATATTTATAACTGCACAGGTTTATGTGATGTCCAGTCTAGCCTCGTCACTACTTCGCCGGGGTTAGGCTAGACACTTACCAGCACATGGGGTCGGTTGTGCTGATGCTACACTTCTGTGAATTTTTGCACAGGTCCAGGTTTTGAGGAACAACAGCAGCAGTAGTTCGGAAGCAGGCG